GCTAGGTTTTGCATGTACTATCGTTTCTTCAATTTAATCATACATTTAATGTTCCTACGTTGATCACGAAATTTTTCCCAAAGAAGTGATGAGTTAGATTTTTTTGCTCGTTTTCTCAACGTGTCTTTTTTATGCAGGGCGTGAATAATGTCGCTTGTGATGTATGGAGGGGTAGATGATCGTCGTACTTGCTGCTTAGGGATGTGGGTATCAACTGCAGCGAGAAAAGTGTCTTTCCACTTCGACCAGGTAAAAAAGATAGGGTTTCTCGGAGAGATTTGAAGTCTCCCTTACTGTAATTGTACGAGAGTCTGTTCGCTGTCAGCTTTGACTTTCTGTTGATGTTGATGTCAAATGTGATAGCTTTGTGATCGGATGGTAACGAAACAGCTTCGTCATCAGTAATGTCGATGTTATCGATTAGATTTTCTTCAGTACTCAGGATTAAGTCGATGGTGTTTTAAGTTCTCTGGTTGGTGAATTTACTAGTTGGAAAAGCCCAACCTGAAGTAAAATGTCAGTAAATGCCGTTTCCAACGATATGTCAGAAAACCCAGACCCATCCAACCATTGGATAGATGGATAATTAAAATCTCCGAGGATAATAGTATCATTAAATTTTGATTCCTTGGCAAAATGCACAAATGTGTTCAAATGATGTACAAATTCTAAGCCAGCATTCGGAGGTCGATAACATACTGCAACAAGCAGTCGTTTTGAGGATGATTTCATCACGACACTTGTTAATATACAAGTATAATTTCATGATTTGATGATTTTGAGTTTTGCTTTTAAAATATTAACACGTATTTCTGAATTTTTAATTTCACTTAGCTCTATGTAATGATACGAACAGCTCTCTACCGATCGCACGAAACTCTGAATGGCTGAATCATTTACCATTAATCCACCACCTAATATAATCTTCAACATCCCAGTCCGAATAACTAGGCGTAACAATATATATTTAGCTGGTAATAAACACACGAACTCTACAAACCAACGCTGTCGGGCAAATATCTCAAATTTGCAATATATTAGACAATGTCAAACCCAACAGCAAAAGACAACCTATTTTAAATTAGTCCCCTTGAACATCAGATCGTTGAACATCAGATCGTTACACAACACTGCTGACTTGATACAGATCAAGGAATTCCTTTCAAAGACAAAAACTGAAGCCCTTACACTATCATGAGAAACTTGGTTGAACACTACGATAACGCATGCCGAGATCTACATCGAAAGTTATACATTATACAGACAAGATCGCTTAGATAAACGTGGAGGAGGTGTTTGCGCATACATCCGAAATGACATTAACGTCTTCAAACTTAAGGAAATTTCATCTGTTTCTGAAAACTATTCCATCAACTTTGACTGAAACTTCAAAGTAAAAAGTTAAAATCTATCGTAATATGCATATCCTACAAACCACCAGAGTGTCCGTTGTCCTGCATGCCTAGAAACCAACTTGAAACCAAGTTTTGTCCAAGCACTTCTCCTAAACAAGCCCATTTTTATATTGGGAGATCTGAATTGCAACGTTATGAAGGATTGTCCAGAGAACACAGCATTAGGAAACGTCATGCTCGAGATGAACTTGAACCAATTAATCACAACACCAACTAGAATAACAGACACTAGTGAATCGTTAATTGACGCGTGATAATAACTTCAACTTCCCATCTTGTTAACGAAAGTGGTGTCATGGATACTACTATAAGTGATCATTTACCGGTGTACGCAGCCAAACCACCACCGCAATATATCCTAACGCGAAGCTACAAGGACTACGACGGCGAAAGGTTCACCGCCCACCTTGCATTAAGATCGGAAGAGCTTATTTCCATCTTTTCGGATTTCAATGTCAATTCCAAACTCGACAAGTTCAACAACGTCATTCTTACCACTTTGAGATTAACTCCACCGTCGTTACAAACGAACACGTGATATTGATGATTGGAGAGCATTTAAAAACGTCCGAAGATCAGTCAAATCCACTCTAAAAGCTCCTGAAAAACAACACGTTCGAACTGAAGTTAACCTCCATAAAGATAATGCTAGATCGTTGTGGAAAGTGATTAATAGGTGCATTCCATCTAAAGATAAAAGAATTTTGACTTACCGCAAAAATACTGCTACGAGGCTTTATTTAGGTAGTGTAGTGAATCGTTACAACAATCTTAAATAACTATCAGTTCTTAAATGTTCAATACTGTTCGTTCCTTCGTGTTCACGTTCGTTTTCTTGTAGTGGTTTCCTTAAAGTTCACTTCAGCCTTTAGATCTTCGTTGTCTTTAGTTTGTCTTCTTTGTCCGTGCTATTTCGTTTTGAGTTTTCGCAGCTTTTCATTTAAGCTTTACTTCGTCTACGTCCACTGACAAATTTGGATTGTGCACGCCCTTTTATACTAACGGTTGAGGGATCTTTGTACACGTGATGTAGCAAGTGGTGTGATTTGTATCCAGCCAATCAACGTTGAGTTATAAAAGTGTGGGTTGGCGTTGTTAGCTCGTTCCAGCTCTCACATTCTGTTTATTTAAGGCGTTGTCGCACTTGTCGAGTTGGTTCGCTGTCCAATCGACCAATATTAAAATATGTTCACAACTTAAAATACTTATCAAAATATCATAGTAAAAACTTCAAACCTATACCTATGTGAACCTTACTTTACCTACTAAACTAAATTTACTTACAGTTTTATTGAACCAAGATTTTGATGACGTGCTCGACCGCGCGAAATATACCGAAGAATGATTGACAGAAACGCCCTAAGTATGCACATTTTCCATGTCAAAGAAGAACCAGCCTTGGACTTTGGATTATGTAAACACAACAGCCCACCGTGCAAGGCTATCGTCCAACTTTGACAGTTTGACAAATTATTTATCTTGCCTAATTAATGGACAGATAATTGACACTCTTACACAAGTCCGAAATGATATCTACTTTATCTGAGTTTTACAGCAAAAATGCTCATTATCTCTCCATTTGACGTAACTAATATCTAAATTACCTGGGGTGCAAACTGAACTATTTTTATACTATTTAGATATACTTTCGTAACAGTACATTAGAGGTGGCCAACGATTTCAACTAATTCTTTCAATCTGTGGGAAAAAGAGCTGCCGAAACAGCTAAAATGTTAGCCCTACAAAATAATCTAAATATATCAACTGAGTTGGAGCCTCAGAATAGGAGATCTAAACTCTACTCTACGGAATTGTTCAAGTTCACTCCCGTCGCATGCACAGAGGTTCAACGCATAATAACAACAATGCCGTCGAACAAATCTCCAGGACCAGACAAAATTAGCATGCGGATTATTAAGGATTGTCTTCCGGTCATACTCCGATACTCGGCCCATTGACAGACATTACTAATAACTCATTTACCACCTCGGCGTTCCCTGAGTCCTGGAAAATAGCAGGAATTATACCACTCTTAAAGGAAGGTGATCATGAAGTTGCTGCAAATAACCGCCCACTTTCAATGCTCAAAGTACTATCAAAGATCTGCGAAAAAGTTGCTTTAAATCAATTTAGCGGTTTTCTTAACCGCACTGACCGCCTATCCTCCCAACAAAGTGGAAACAAAAAGTATCATTCAACCGAAACACTCAGTATATTAGTCAATGATTTTTTGCTAAAATCGATGGACAACAAAAAGCTTACTGCTCTAGTTCTTTTGGATCTCTCAAAAGCATTTGACAGCGTGGACCATAAAGAAACTAAGCAATATTGGGGTCCTTAACTGGTTTGAAAGCTACATTTCAGATAGAAAGCATGCTGTTCGTTCGCATTGGCTCCTCGGTATCCGAAGTTCTAGCAATCACTCACGGAGTGCCTCAGGGGGCAATATTGTCACCGCTATTGCTCTGCATCTATATAAATGACCTCTCAAGAGTACCACAAGCATCTGAGTTGGAATCATTCGTCGACGATTCTAACATCTTCATGTCATTTCCAATTGAACATATCGCTATAGTGCAAAAACAAAGATAGAAGAGGACCTCAAATTGGTCGCAACTTGGTTTTTCGAAAAAAAAACTGTTGATAAACCCCGAGAAGACAAAGTTACTCCGGATAGGAACTTGTCAACTGTTCGGTAAGCTCCTTGAGGAGACGACAATTACATTTCTTGGTGAAGAGATTACACTAACCATAAATGCCAAAGACCTGGGATTAACCCTAGACAGTTATCTGACATAGTAGACATACGACTACCATATCAAAAATGTTGTATCATCTTGTATGGCCAAGCTGTGTCAGATAAATAGAGTAAAGGATAGCTTTGACAGGGATACTCTTCGCTTAATTATCAACGCTTTAGTAATGAGCAAACTTTATTATTGCTCTACAGTATGGTCAAACACTTCTGCAACAAATATAAAGAAATTGAGAGCAGTACAGAATTTTGCTTGTAGGATATTGACAAATACGGAAAGATATGATCATGTAACACCAGCACTATGGGCAATTCGCTGGCTTCCTGTAGAGGAACACTTAAAATATAGAGAGGCACTAATAACATACAAATGTATAACGGATTAGCACCACCTTATCTATCCAAATTATTTATAAAAAGAAATGAAATTCACGATCTAAATACAAGGAATAATAAAGCGCTATCCCTCAACACAAAACAGTTTCTGCAGGACAAAGAACCTTTTATTACAGAGCGGTGAAGTTATGGAATGACTTGGGTGAAGACCTAAAAAAGTTACCTTGGAAAAGATTTAAAACTGAGTTAAAGCAGAAGATGCTAAACAACAATTAATTACATTTCCTGATATTTAAATAAATGATAAATAATTACACTTCTGATAGATCTCATAGACAAATAGATTTTAAATAAACGCTATAAATAGGAATTTTAATTTTAATATAACTATTCGTACTGTAAATAGGTATTGAAAAACCCTCTCCGGGAATACTTCATTGAATAATAATAATTTTGTAATCGCTGAAGTTTATCACAAAGTGTGGTAACAAGGCCTCCCCAAACCTGGGACCAATAAAGTCGAACCCCCCTCATTATGTAATAGGGTAAAGTAGAACCCTCCTCAAGGACAAATGGCTAGTTAAACTAGCAGTTTTGCTTCTGATCACTCTACTCTTCATACTTGTTGGTTTCCTCTTCATATGGTAATGAATTCATCATTCATATAACCAAGAACTAGAAGGCATATAACCAATGATGCATGAGCTTAAGGCACAGCTAGACTAATGAAATTGTGAAAAAATAGCAACTCTCTTTCAGCAAAGCTTGTTTATTTTATTTTGAAAAAGTCATTCCCTTCACTTTCCTAACTAGAATTGGAATAAAAGTACAAATAATGAATGGGAATCCAGTTATGCCTAGAATAACCACACTAGAAGTTCGATATATACCACAGTATCCTTTAGGGGTTGGAATATCCTCCTGTACCATACTTGTATCCAATTTCCAAAGCCATGGCTTGTGAGGGTCTTTAGACTTATATCCAGACTGAATAACCCTCCAAGAATGTCCAAAAGCCTTTTCAAGATACGTTTCAGGATCGCTATGGGTTTTATAACCCCGACCATTGATAGTAATATTTGTGGGTGAGGCCCTAGGCTCCTCATATGGGTATATATCAACATAGCCTATTGAATTCCATTCAGGTTGTTTGATTGGTAGAACACCTTTCATTTGTTCTAGTATTGTCTTACTAAATAAATCATGTTTAAACAGGTCTGGGACTTGAGTTTTCAATGGAAAAAGAGGTATTATTCTTCTAAGTTCGTATATAAGTGGGGTAGAATAGTGCTTCTTTTGCATAATTTGTTGCAATCTATTAAAAGCATTGGAATCCTTATAATCTTCGAGTGTAAGATCAATGTCAATGTCTTTTGTCCAGGGAATAATGTTTTTAGATCTCACAGCTCCTAACAGAGTACCAAAAGAAAGACGATAATCAATCCCAGCTTTACTAAGGCCGTCAACAGCGTCAATTAGATACTGATTTAAAGCCACATCACAACAGAACAGTGACAGTTTTCCTGAAATAGAGTTTCCAATTTCTTGTAGAGGTTTATTTGGGCAGTAATATACGTTTCTAGAGCACTGGGTCCAGGTGACTGAGTTTTCACGAATTACTCTTAAGATATTATGATTAAATCCCAAGAGACCATAGTCGAGATATATCTGTTTTGTTTCCATGGCTCCCCTATCAGTGACCAACTGCTCATCTGTAAAACTACAATTAAGAGAAGAAGCTATTTTGAGAGCACCTTTTGATCTGAGAAAAAAATCAATCAAAGTAGTTTCCCCATGTGATGGTCTCAGACCAAGCCTGTTGAACACATTCCGTCGAATCAGGAATGGTGCTTCCACGATATTGCAGTTGAAAAATGTGAGTAACTGGCCAGCTATTTGCCTTGTTTGTATTTCACCACCTTCTTGTATAACAATACTCCAGTGTTTGGTGAAAAAGATACATGATTTTATGCTAGTGTTAAAAATAGAATGATTATCATCACTACACGTAGCTCCATCAAAGTCACTCCAAGACTCAAGGATATTTACAAGATGGCGGACGCCATGACATGATTCCCTAGTACATGAAATGCAAGACGTTTTTCTGGGCAAAACCAGAATGTATTTCGCTTTACCACTTGGTTCACTTGTTGTTTCGTCAATTCCCACAACCTCCACATCGGTATACAAGGCTTTGCTTTGAAAATTGTCTGCGAGATGGCAGTTTAGTTTTGACGAAAATGACTGAATCCCTTGCGTGATCGTAAAATTGCACGGATCTAGTAACTCGTTCAATAAAATTATCAGCGACCAAATGAAACATAAGAAAAGTAAATAGTACCTCCAACATGCAGAACACTTTGAACGTAGATAAAACGCCATATGTGTTCTATATTTATTGACAACATGAAATTTATTGACAACATTACCACGGTGAAGTACGCATGAGATTCAACATAACATTCAACATGACATTCCATATGGTGTGAACTCACTCATTTCAATCACTCAGGTGTAAAAATAAAAAGTATAGCCATTTCTTCCCAAATGAATTAGAAAAAAGAAATCAAACAGTTCTTATTAACTAATTAATACCTTATAGTTTTATTGCACACAAACCATTAAACCAACAAACGCGCCTCAAAGCAGTTAATTAACCGAAACTAAAAAACTGTCAAGAATTGTTTCATAAATATTTCAAGTTTCATAAACTGTCAAGAATTGTTTCATAAATTCCAAGCTCGCTATTCTATAGGATTGATTTTCTTAAACTTTAATATATTGTATAAAATTATATGCTCTTTCATTTGGTTACTTACACGTAAATGGTTTCAGCCTGCAAACAAGCGACAATCCGTCCCAAAATTAAATGGACCATTTGGCACGCGTCACGCGTTGACGCGTCATCGTAATTGAACCTGATATATACAAAGTCAATTCACTTATTCACCAATAGCGACGCCATCTTGAATCATGATGCATTATGGGTTATCCAGGGTAAAAATCCGAATTCAAAAGCCTTTAATGTCGTATTGAGACACAATACGGTAATTTTTTTCATAAACACTTTCTTGAGGACAATGAGGCAGTGTAAATCAATTTTATGCGCACTTTGTTGAAATTATTTCCCTTTTTAGGCCTAACAAAGATTTAAACTATAGATTTTATCCTGATTTTTTTTATTTTTCCCAGCTTTTGTGTGTTTTCCTAGTTCTTCTAAAAATTGTCTGTTATTTTCAACTATAAAAACGTGTCTTTTCGCCTACATATTTGATTTACAGCCCTTCAAAAACGCTCAATTACCCTGGATCACCCATAATGCATTGCGTTGAACGCGAAATTCAAGATGGCTTCGCTATTGGTGAATAGGTGAATTATATGTGCGCTGTCAAAAATTGCCTGTTAATTTAATTAAACCATCCATAACTTGCCCTCTATTTTATACAATTTTCTTAAACTTTCATATATTGTATAAAATTATGTTCTCTTTCATTTGGTTAGTTACAGTACACGTAAGTGGTGCAAGCATGCAAATGAACGATTTCAGAACGAAAATCCTACCTATATATAGGACTATTTGGCACGCGTCATGGTTAGGCTTAAGCAGGACGCTTATATATATAAGCGCCCTGGGCTTAAGCTACGTTTACACGCTGCGATTAATCGTGTACACGATTCGTTTTCTGGCGTATGTCATTGAGTAAACACGCGTAAGCTGGCCACATTTGAAATTTCTTTTTAACAACTTTTGACATTTCGGGCAACTTTTGACATATTAAACCTGATATATACAAAGTCAATTATACGTGTGCTATTTGAGTGGGATTTTCGTGCCACCACGTACGTGCAAGTAACCAAATGAAAGAGCACATAATGTTATACAATATATGAAAGTTTAAAAAAATTGTATAAAATGGAGGGCAAGTTATGGCTGGTTTAATAACAATCAATTTTTGACAGCGTGCATATATTAATTAACTTTTCATATATCAACTTATTATTAGCATGACAAAATTACTGGATGCTGATTGGTTGAGAGGAGTACAATTGTACTGCAGTACAATTAATGATTTTCCCAAAACAAACAAAATGGCGGAAACGTATTTTAAACTCAAGCGTGAAATGAAATTGCCGTGGAGGAACTAGATGAAAATACGAACACAAGCACCAAATTTTGCTTTAACAAAAGAACTAAATGAAAATACAAACAAAAGCACCAAATTTTGGTTGAACGTCTGGCAGGACTGGGCTTTGGCGAGAGAATATGATGCTGACCACAAGCGGCCCAATTTCGCAAGGGTCAGTATAGACTTATAGTATAAATGTATATTATATTAATATATATTATAGTAAAAATATGTCGTAAAATATAAATTTTAAAATGAAATTGACTTGCCTATTTGATAGTGTGTGTTCTCCTTTTATTCCTCCTTTGTTGGACTAATATTTTCCAAGACTTTGTACTCGATGTTACTAGTATACATGAAACATGATAAAGGCTAACGATTTCCGATCGTCGATACGACGGCACGGCACTTCGAATCGAAAATTCTCACACTCAAATCGCTTTATTCTCAAAAACAATTCGCCAGCATGTACAACAAATGCCGTTTTTCGAAAATACAGAGGTATTTCGGCGAGATGTACAAGTTTTGGACCATATTTTAACAATGGAAATCAAAACACATTTTGTATTGAACTTACCCGGACCGAAAATTACTACGGCGAACGTCTGCGCAACCAGGCCTCCTTTACCGTTGGATTTACAGGGGGGGGGAGCAGATATTTCTGGTAACAGCCAGCCAATCGCGGCCGCGTAAACAGGTGGGAAATTTGTCGTCGCTGACCAAAAAATCGCGGGCAGAAACAAAGCTCATTGCATTTACATTCAAAACAAAGCAGAAAGTTAGCAAGAAGCTGTTTTAGCTGACGATTTTTTGCTTTCCATTCAACGATTTACAAATTAACGGTTATTCTTTTAAAAGTCGACTATGAGTTCTTTGGTTTGGGACATTTGTTTTGTAATCGAGTGACTGGAAGAAGTTAATATGGCGACGTGAACATGGGAGTAAATACCGTATACGTCGATCTGTGGCTTGTTTAATACCGTAATAAACGAAGAAAGACGTGATATGAGAATGAAATGTAAGTTGAAATTAACTTTATATGCCTCAAATTTTCCATCCTATGTTTCTTAATGTAACTTCAGCTGTCTAAGTTCAAAATACAAGCTCGCGAAATTTGACAAATTTTGAAAATATGTAAAAATAGCTTGACTTTGAACTGGATTTTCTCAAAAATAGCCCGTGGCCTCAATTTCAAATATAGGTAAATGAAAAGAAAAACTTTTAGGTGTTTGTAGGTATCAAACATATCGTCAGGAAAATAGGGGCTCACAATGTTTTAGCTGAGTCTTTGAGACCCAGTTGCTTCGCACGTGTTGTTGTCAAATTTTTGCCAGGAATCAAAGGCCGAAATGTGAACTTCCTTCATGAAAACCGCTTCGAGAAGGGTCTAGATTGAAAATTTAGCTATTAATTTCGATTTCGTGAGCATATTTTGGTTACACGTTAAATATTTTTGTACTTGATGAGATTCAAAATTTGTTGTATATTCAAGCCCGGCTTTAGTGTAATTTTGGTGATGACCGGAACAGAAATAAAGATATTTTAAAAACTGGCCGTGGCCTCACGATAAAACTTTCTGAAAATGTTCTCTGTTTCATGTATTTTTAGTTGATATCTTAGGTATAAGCGTAAAAATAGGGGCTCATACAGTTTACGAGGTTGTAAAATGCATGACTTGCCTCTATTTTCATGTAAACATTCGAAATTTTTCGACAGCATAGTAGCGACTGTTTCAGATCGAATGCACACGGACAGCCCACCAGAGACAATGGCAGGGTACTGAAATAGAACGTCACTAAAAAATTCTGTATGATTAATTTAGATCATGTCCATTTTCAACATAAAACAGTCATTTATTTTGTACAAACATTTGGCAATATTTACACGATTGTGCCTTTTTGTAAACACGCGTTGCGTGTATTCCACGCAATTGTGTTTTTCAATTTGCTCGCGCATGCTCAGACAAATTTCCCACCTGTTGGCCGCGTAGCGACTGTTTACATTATTTGAAATTTGACATTCAAAATAAAAACTCCTTCGATCGGATACTGTATAAAACTCGAGATGTTGTCGAAGAAAAGAAAATTAAACGACGGAGATTGAAGAAATTTAAGGAAGAATAACAAATATTATCGTGAATATATTAGTGGCATCCTCCCCCCTGTAAATCCAACGGTAAAGGAGGCCTGGTTGCGCAGACGTTCGCCGTAGTAATTTTCGGTCTGGGTAAGTTCAATATAAAATGTGTTTTGATTTCCATTGTTAAAATATGGTCCAAAACTTGTACATCTCGCCGAAATACCTCTGTATTTTCGAAGAACGGCATTTGTTGTACATGCTGGCGAATTGTTTTTGAGAATAAAGCGATTTGAGTGTGAGAATTTTCGATTCGAAGTGCCGTGCCGTCGTATCGACGATCGGAAATCGTTAGCCTTTATCATGTTTCATGTATACTAGTAACATCGAGTACAAAGTCTTGGAAAATATTAGTCCAACAAAGGAGGAATAAAAGGAGAACACACACTATCAAATAGGCAAGTCAATTTCATTTTAAAATTTATATTTTACGACATATTTTTACTATAATATACATTAATATAATATAATATACATTGATACTATATAAAGGGCAATTGCTAGATAGTATACTTCAAAATAAGATTTCCGTTTTTATATCAATTTTTAAAATAATTAAAATAAGTTAGGGTTAGGTTAGGGTTTAGGTTAGGGTTAGGTTAGGGTTAGGGTGAGGGTTTGTATTAGGGTTAGGGTTTAGCTTTGCGTTAGGATAGTTTTTTCTACGTTATAAAAATGGAAACCTTATTTTGAAGTATACTATCTAGCGATCACCCTATATAAAGTCTATACTGACCCTTGCGAGATTGGGCCGCCTGTGTGCTGACATTGAGAAGTACGTATCCAATTTTGTCATGCTAATAATAAACAAATAATCATGCGATGTTGCTCGTACAATTAGGGATTAATAGTACTCGTGATGTTTGGAAATTTGCCAAATTGGACTCACCCCGGCGGCTCGTCCAATTTTGGCAAAATTTCCAAACATCACTCGTACTATTACCTATACTAATTACGATGACGCGTGCCGCAAATAGTCCATTTTTTTAAGACGGATTGTCGCTTGTTTGGGACTGCACGCAGGCTACTTGTTTGCAGGCTTGCACCAATTACGTGTAAGTAACCAAATGCCGATGAAAGAGAATATAATTTTTACAATATATGAAATCCCAAAGAATAGCGGACTTATGAAACAAATCTTGACACTTTTTTTTTAGCTTAGGTTATATTTGGCACCGGGAGTGATTAGGAATGTCTTTTTGGACTGCTTTGAGGCGCGTTTGTTGGTTTGTGTGCAATAAAACGTTAAGTTATTAATTAGTTAATAAGAACTGCATGATTTCTTTTTCTAATTCATTTGGAAGAGAAGATTGATTGAAATGAGTGAGTTCATACCATGTCGAATGTCATGTTGAATCCTATGCGTACTTCACAGTGGTTATTAATTAGCCTCCTCCGCAGGCATTGCCATTAGATTATGGGGCAAAATTTGCGCGCTTGCAGGCAAAAAATTAATAGCGGCGACTTTGTAAAGTACGTGAACCACGAGATGCCTGCGGAGGAGGCTAGTTATTAGTGAGCTTAAGCAAGTGATGTTTTTGACAACACGAACGGCATGAGTAACGTCAGAAGACTGGGTCAAGGGCTGTGATTGGTGAAAAACGTCAATTTTACTTCCGGTAGACGTCCGTGTTGTCAAAAACGTCACTTGCTTAAGCTCACTATTAATTTGAATCACAGAATGATTTGATCATTTGAATGTATGATATGCAGTGTTTCCACTATCAAAATAAAAAAATCCCTCTTTGTAACAACAGATGGGAAATTTATTGCGCATGCGCCAGTTTAACCAAAATTTCCATTGAAACTTGAAGTTTTCCCCGAAAAATAGCAATTGATGACAATTCAGTGTTCCATGACTGTGGATAAATACAATTCGAAAACATTGGCAGTGGCAAAACATTAGCAAAAACCAACGCACTGTGATTGTTTCTATTTCGGCTTCACGAACTTGTGGTCACACGGTACCATGGGCGTACCGGAAGGAAAAATTTAGGGGGGCGGAAAGAAAATTGCTTTCGCCAAAAAATTTCGGTCAGTGTACCTCTTTAGTAGGGGTCAAAAAAATTTTCCGGACACCAAAATTTTTCGGAACATAACACAAATTTTCGAAAAAACACAAAATTTGCCACAAAATTTACTTAATTTTACACAAAATTTACAGAATTTGTCCCATTTTTTTTAATTGCAAACCAAAATTGCCCGACTGTTGATTGAATATTGCCCGACTGCCCAACAAACTGGTGCGGGCTACCCCCCCCCCCCCCCCGCCCGGTACGCCTATGCACGGTACTTTGATTATTAAGAGCTGCATGATTGAAAATTAGTATCGCGCTTATTCGGGGACGGCGCAAAAACCAGTAATTACAGTTTTCACTTCGATGACGTACGGTCTGCTGTTTTGCTTTATGTTGGAACTCACTGACACTGTATATTAAATATGTCAGATTTTTTGTGAAACCGAGAACTTTTACTCGACTTTCTAATGTATTTCTTATTATCTAAATTTTACTATCTACACGGCAAAAAACGCCGAGCACGCTGCTCAACAGGATTGAACAATGTTTTGCTGCCCACGTTGTTCACACTTGTCAACAATATTGAACAATGTTGTTGACCCTGAATCGGGTGTAACAATATTGTTCAATATTGTTGACAGGTATGAACAATGTGGGCAGCAAAACATTGTTCAATCCTGTTTTCATCAGTATTGCATCAACCTGAGCGTTTTTACGTGTGTACAATAATATTACTGTTTACAGCGGTAGATATATTTTTGCCTAGAAACATCTGAATTTTGTCCGCAGAATTTCTCATTTTGGCCGCGGAATTGACCTCAAAAATTCCGCAGAATTTGCTATTTTTGCCCGCGGAATTCCAGAATTCCTGATAATAATGATGCAACGTACGTTATACACTGTAACACGTACTTCGTGTAATACGAATTATAGAGCCGGTTTCACTGATCATGATCAAATGAAGCATTGCATGTTTAATTAGCTCATATTCGACTCGAGTTCGTAGAATAACTGTTAATTATTTTTTTCTTGCGGTCAGAAATCATATTTTATGCTTTTCTGCAATCCGGATTGGCTACGCGAGCGGTCCGTATGACCCCGTATGGACCGCGCGTGATTTAAAGCCGTAGAGCCAATGTTTTTATTTTTAAAAATTTAAAGACGAGTTTAAAGGCTACTTTTTAAAACATTAAAATGTCTGCAGACGATGAAGAACACAGTGACTGAAGTGAATTAAACTATTGAATCAATATACGAGACAAGAGAAATGAAAACATACCCGCCAAAGAATTAAATATCCAGCTCTTAAATTAAATTAAATATCAATCTTGAGCGATGACAGTGACTTGGACTAAATATTTGTGTAAATAATTGTTACACTTTTAATTAAAAATAAATTGTGCAAAGCGGTGTCCTAGCAACATTATGTTCGAAAGATCGGTACGATTTCGTATTCGTTAAACCCCCTCAATTTTTCCTTCTTTTGAATCTGGGTCGATCATTATCATAAACTATAAAGATCGCAAGCACATGACATAAACAACTCAAGTAACTTTTATTTCAAACTGTTATTATTTACATAATTAATACCTATAAGGTAACGTTTTGTAATCTTCTTTTGTCAAATACAACATTTTGCAAAAAAAGTATCTTTCGTACATTGTTCATTCCAAATAAAAAAGATAAGTCAAAATGGGTTGGTACTCAGAAAACTTTGGGCTTTACAGTCTGAAGCTCTCCTTTTGAAGTAATATATCAAGAGTTACTAGTGAGGGTGCGGGATAACGTCCTCTGGATAACATCCAAGTAGTGACCGTTCAGATTATGGAGATGTTCCTTTGTCTGTTTATATTTAAACATCTAACTTCATCATATAAATAGCACGAAGAAACGCGTTCCAAGCTATTCCCTGCATGTTCAAACACATTTACTACGTCCTCCAGACCGTACTTTTTCCAACACTCTTCTTCCGTCGTCTGTCGTACAAAAGCCGTCTTTCTAAAGTGGCCGTCCAAATGACGGCTGGCAGGTTAAGACCACAAGTTTGATAGCTATATAGATCTAGAAAATATAATGGTACTCTTTCAAGTTTATGTTTAAAACGTGCACATTTTCACCATCTAACTTCCATTTTATATTTGTATAATACCTCTTTCTCTCTTTTATCACTCTTTGTATTTCTTTCGAGATTACCACCAAAAACTCGTTCCACCAGATAAAAATTATTGATGACATGCATGATTACCTCTGCATCATTGCATGATTACGTAGTTATACCCAAAATATAGACACGTAACTCTACAATATGGATTAGTCAGTCACAGTTTTCCGGTGCAGCCAGGTTAATATTGCATTTCAATACTTAATTCGACCATATGCCGATTTGACCTTAGATGGCACTTTAAACTTGTAGAAATTATCCGATCTTTTGATATATTAATTTCCGATTTGTGAGTGCATGCTTTGCTATACAAAGAAACTTATCACATTGACGTCGTTTGAAAGAGTTAATCATTTCATGGGCGTGTGTTAAGGCCAATACAAAAGTATTTAATGCAGTTTGGGAGGCTGTATGTTTGTATAAACCTCGTCGAAAACACTGCTCCTTTCTTTGTATATATATAGAGGTACAATATCGAGCAGTGTTTGTTTTTTAGTTAAATAAAACAGAAGTCATCATTTACGTAGGTACTGAAAGTAGGATGCAGGAGGGGCGACTGCATTGCAAAATAGGAAAGGTTTGCTTTCGATTTGTGAGAAATATTTGGTGTAATTTGAAAAATATTGATTAGCTAATTTGCGTGAAAACAGTAATTCAGTAAACGTTTACAAGAGAACGTGTAGAAAACATTGTATGATCAGGGTTGTGCGTATCACTTTCACTGCACCTCATCAGTAGACCATTATTTTGCAGAATTACTGGAGCGTAGCCTCGACTTCAAATTCAAATTTCAGGTTAAGATAAACCGACATTGTAACCGTTAGGTTAAATTGCATCGGTCTTTACAATATATAACTACATGATGTTTACAATAAGAATTAACTACTTGATGTTTACAATAATAATTTTTAAAATACAATAGATCTATTTACTATTTTCTTTAGAGATAGTTCATGGTAAAAACGAGTTTTTAAATCTATCCGTTTTACATTTACAAGTTTTTATATTTACATTTTGACCTCGTGTCATAATCTAACGAGGTTTTACAGATCAAGTGTTCGTAAACTTTACTGTTATTTTCATTCTTCGCAAAGAATTGGTCACATAGTTCATCACGTCTTGTTTTGAGTAATGGGAGCCTGGTCGGTCAGTTCACGTGCCTGCCTATAGATTAATGAAGGCAATATGATTCTTAGTGCGCGTTTTTGGACTGATTTTCTCAATCTCATCACTTAGGTATTGTTGAATGTTAAAATGCCAAACTTGGCAGACATATTCTAAAACAGGTCTTATGATGGAAGTGAAAACCGTAGGCAATATTTTCAAATTGGCGTTCGATCTTTTTAAAATTCGGAGCATGTACAGTCTTTTTCTAGCTTTCCTAACGATTTGGTGTATGTGGCCGTTCCAATTCATATTATCTTGAAAGGTAGTTCCGAGGATGCGAGTAGATTCTACGCGTTTCACTGGTACGTCGTTAATCAGTAGGGGCGTAAAATTCCGTTTTTCTTTGGAAAAGTCAATGATCATTTCTTTACACTTATCTACGTTGAGCTTCATATTGTTTGCGATAGTCCAATTATAAATATAGTCCACTAGGTCTTGGAGGTTACTGTTACAGTGCGGTAAGATACTCTCGGTGACCGTACAGTCGTCGACATAATTATTTCCATCTATCAGGCCATTCAGTCAATCATATTGATTTGATATTCTTCAGTCTTAGGTAATGTTTGAAGTTTCGATTTGCAAAATAATAAAGTTGAGGCTCAATCTGATACTCAGGGTCTTCGTCACCTCTGCTACCTCAGCGGAGGTGAAGTACCGAAGATCCTGAGTATCAGCCGAGATTGGTTGAAGCTACGCGTATGTAATGATACGCTGAAGTAATTTCTACAAATGCATGGTATAGTTTATAGACAGTTCTCCTTCTGGACGAAGACTTGTAGTCATAGATATCTTATATACACTAGATAGCGCATCTCTTTTAGTAAAATTGAAGCCAATAATATTCCAGCGGTTACCCCCATTTGAATAGATGGCGGCCATGTTGGTCGTTCCCACTTGCTAATAAACGCTTAAAAACAACAATAACTTTCATCATTTGAATACTTTAAAAACGTATTTGGAATAGGTTTAACTTAACATTTAAGTTCCCTGTTTAAGAAATAGAAAACATACAAATCTCCTCATTTCATGGGAACGACCTGAGACTGCAATCACAGCTTCAATTTTTGAATTGCAGAATAATTAGATGCACTATCTAGTATATATAAGATATCTATGCTTGTAGCTTGCCGAGTAGAAGCGTTACATACTGTAAAGAAACCATAGGCGCGTATACGGGAGGAATAAAATTAGGGGAGCGGCCCAAAGTTTGTGCGACGATCGTAAAATTGACCAACGCAATTCAACACAATTTTTTTTCCTTCTATATTTCCCAAAATTCCCGTCCACGGGGGGAAGGAATTGAAAGATAAAAATTTTCGAAACATATATACATTCAGATATTTTGAAATCATGAGTACTATTTCTTTCTATTTCCACCAATTATTTAAAGCTCGCCATTTTCCCTTTAATCATGTTTACTGTACAATTGCCCATTTTTCAGTACAAACGGCCCGACCAAAAAATGATAACCTCACTATACATAGGTAAGTGTGCCATACGCAACTCAATTCCCGCGCGTGCGTCACGCAACCGCTTAGCACATCAAAGCGCCTGGGATGAGGCTGTGCCATATATAGTCTCAGTCTGCAATTAGATATCGATGAAGGTGTCCTTTACACGTTGCTACCAAGGCATTTTTTAATACCATGGACTGGTGGGGCATTTGCCCTACTGGGCCCCTTCCTTTGCCCCACCACTGAAGAAAAAAAATGGCCTATTGCCCCAAAGTCAGAGCCCTATGACCTGTATTGAGTAAAAGAGTTTAACATTGAAACTGAGAAGTTTAAAAAACAAACTTTGTTGGTGAGCATACTTGAACTTATGTTGTGTTTGAATGTTTAGCATGAAATTTATTAATTTCTTTAAAACTTTGTTTTGAGAAGCTGAGATTTTTTTAAAATGTGTTCTCAGAATGCAGGAAATGATATTTCAGAGACCCATATTTAAAACATTTCCTGGGGTACATGCCCCCAAACCCCCCTAGCTAACTCGGGCCTGCGGTACTCGGCTCATAGCCTCCTCCGCAGGCATCTCTTAATCGTCGAGAACTTATATAATTTAGTTATTCAAATAACTGATGTTCTGATTGGGTTACCTAATCGGCTCACACCTTCGGCGATCGCATACTGTCTTGGGGGGAGGACAGGGAAAATGGGCCCTTTGGCAGTTTTGGCCCACCACTGAAGAATCCTTAAAAAATGCACTGGTTGCTCACCACGGCAACCCGACAACACTTTGTATTTCGTTTTGTACTGTATGTAGAATGATCTATGTAATCGTGTCCAAATGATCGAAATTTATATATAGTTTTAATGGGTCCTCCAATGATACGCGAGGGCCTCCATGCTGAGAAGATCTACGGCCATATTCAATATCTACAGTATATATTGTTTATGCATGCAGTTAGAGTTTTTGCACATTGTATAGTTCTGAAATTTACAGGTATACAGTATTGTTTATACAATTTCATTTTTTGTAACGTATATGATGTGCAGGTAGCCAGGTGCAGTAATTGTTTATGAAGGACAGTAGGACAAAGTCTGTATCGATTGAACTATTATCAAATGTGTCACGACCTGCACATAATAAGATGCACGTGCGGATATGACGAATGCGACTTTGGACAATGAAATTCATGCATGGTTGCATAGAAATATTTTTATTGCCACTCATCAGCCAGAATATCTAATATATACAATACTTTAATTTTACTTTTTCAGCCAGTGTTCGTGTGAACATATGGCCCATGTCATGGTATTTTAAAATTGAATATTATTGCCCAGCGGCCAGCACCAACAATTTTAAGGCTAAAACTGAACGGTTTAGAAATATATAGTTTTATCCCATATGCAATTAGAACTTATTCGTAGTTTTAAATTAACGTTTTAATAATTTTATATTCTCTTATAGCTTATTTTGAATATGTATCTTAATTAACTTCATATAATGTAAAAACGTGTAATTCAATTCTTGATTGCAAAACGTTTTATATTAAACTGAATCAAATCAAATCAAATATGAATTATTAGCTATTCTAAAGCACAGTATTCTCTCTAATTGTTTTAAAAATAATTTATAAGAAGATCATTTTAGTAGTATAAGTCATTTTTACTAATGAAAGCCTTATTCTTAAGTAAAATTATAAGAGCTCCCAGAAGTAGGTAGATACTAGAGGTGTGCAAATCCGATCCGAATCCGATCCGATCGGATTCGTTCGGATTTCGGAACCAAAATATTCATTTCGGATCGGATTGATCTGAAGTTGTTTCGTAATCGGTATCGATATCCGAAATAAAATGAATTAATTATCCACGCATTATCGCAAGAATTAATTATCCATGCATTTATCAAAGCATTATCGCGGTTGTCGCTGCATTATTCGTTTGATACTTCAATTGGACGTCACTTTGTCAGCTTCTTGACATGTATTTCTTGCTTTTATATTTATTTGGTTAAATATTTCAACTTGAATGAGAAATTTATTTTGTTAAAGAATTCATCGGATTGGATTGGAATTCTTTATCAAAACTCGGATCGGATTCGGATTAGACAATTTCGGATTGGATTTTAAACATTAAGCAATTGTCGGATTATAAACGTCCAATCCGTCCGATGCACACCTCTAGTAGATCCGATCCAGTTGAAGAGATACGTAATTTTGTCAGCAATTTGAAGAAACTCGTTGATCATGAATTTAATCCCATACGCACGCGTTCCACCTGCTTATATCTGTCAATGTATGTGTATAAATATACCTGCCTGACATGCTTTGTTCCCAGAACCGTTGCCAGTATGAGTTGCTCTTTTCCAGTAATCCAGTTACCTTAAGGCCGTTTTTCATTAACGTCCGCTTTGCCCGCGAGGACGAAGCGTTCATTGTTTTAGACGCCCACTTATTTCCGCGTGAGCAGAGTTTCAAAGCCCGCTCCGTCCGTGCGGGCAAAGCGACTGCAATGGAAACCGGCCTTAATTCGTGCTTAACTTCGCGCGATTTTATTTTCGCGATTTTAAAAAAATCATGAAATTAAAATCGCGCGATAAAGAACCTCGCGAAATTTACACATGCGAAATTAATAAATACCCTGGTCAAAAATTTGAATAATTAAAATTCTTGATAAATATGTCAATATATGATCAACAACTTGTATAGCTCATACATCGATAATAAATAACAAGTATTTCGCCTATCAAAATCGCGAAATATTGCCTCGAACAAATCGCGAAATTAATACGCGCCAAATTAAGTACGAATAACGTAAAAGCTGGTTTTAGCGGATAATCCAAATGAGCATATATATATATATATATATATATATATATATATATATATATATATATATATATATATATATATATATATATATATATATATATATATATATATGCACAAATGAAGACCTAATGTAGACTTTCGCAAAGTCCGTTTTCTTTTTTTTTGAGGGGTTAGGGAGAGAACGAGGCGAAGAGATGTCGACTTGTGGCAAGTCTATAGTCCTAACCTTGCAGGAACGGTTGTGAAAAATGCAACACTTGCGATTCCGGTGCAGCGCGGCTCTAACCACGCAACTAAGCTATAGAGGCGAGTTGTATAACCACAAGTTCATGCATACAGCTAATCCAAAAAAGGTTGACAATAAATGTCCTTTGCAAACCTTAAACTCTAAGCATGCAAAGTGTAATGGGAGCATCATTTAATCAGTTTAATTATCATTTATGGACTTGTACTCCCATTAAGCTTTGCGCGCTTAGCCGGTTTAAGGTTTAGAGTTTAAGGTTTGCAAAGCCAAAGGTACCTTTTTTGAATTGGCTGTATATAGATTATATATACCTATACGAATAACGTACTTTTGCAATAAGCTCGTCTTGTGTTTACCCCAAGACGGATGATGTGTCCTCACGTCTCTTCATATGGCTAGCTAAATCGAGCCATCATTTCTTCAGCTTCTTTTGAAATCTTAAAATCCTAGATATTCTCCATTTCTTGAAATTCCTGGATGAAGCTTATGATATTACAACAATGTTTGTGTACGAAATTGCTTGTCTCTTCAGACATCGCTATCTTTCTACTAAGAACTTTTGTCGTATTTCTAGTTGTCTTATAAGATAGCGACCCTTCATAATTTCCAATCCCGTTGGTACTGGATTTAATCCAGGCAGGCACACTAGCAGGAACAGAACCCATACCTGCAAACTCGTAAAGGGCTTCAGCCGTTTTATAAGGATGGATCATCATATTTCTAAACACTACAAGTTTGTAGTGATCCTTTATCAGAGCGTAGTTTCTTTTTCGGCCGTATTTTATGTTACTCCATATTGTCTCACAAACTGAACGTATTTGCTGTTCCAGCGACGTGGAATTTCCAGCAAACCAGCGAAGTCGTTGCATCGATGGAATAACATGGCGCGGATCACGAATTAAATGAATGATGCGCATATTCCAGGATTTTGAATATCGCATAAGATTTTCTAGGACAGAAGATGATCCATTTTGAGGAAATCGTATACTCAACTCTTTCACTACGATATTTTGATCAGTCTGATCACTGTTCCTTGTATTTCGATACCTGAACGACTCAGAAATTATATTTATTGCCTTAAACTTCAAATGATCAGCAATAAAAACATTTTGGAGGATCTTTCGCAGCGGTTCAAAAACGTACCGTGTTTTTCTGTCGTTTCGTTTGAAAATCTCGCCGAGGAATGAAGATCCTGCCCTTCCGCTTGTGAGGATAAGAATATTTGAAGTATCATTTTTCACTTTTCTGTTTCGCATACAGGATCCATCAGAGCAATTCGGTTTTAATTTCGTATTGAAATTAACATTAAGCGATACCGTGTGGAGAATATATCCAACAAAGTAAAATCCACACCCAAGTAGAATGGTCATAGCAAAAAATAGATTTATTCTACTCATAATTTACTGTTACTTTTTCAATATGGAAACGGTTGACTTTTAAACTATTAGACTGTTTAAGATCTACGACGCACCAAACTCGACGACGCGCGCTCTCCACATTTTCAGCTATAGTCAAAAGCTAATTATTTTGTTTAGCATTAGTTAAAAAAATTCTTTATTTTGAAACCGTGCCGTTGCATAGGATGCCACGTCGTAGATCTAGTTCTATCTATTCATTTGGCTTATATAGCAAACAGTCGTGTAGAACTACAGTAGTAAAGTCACAAGAACAGACTTGATGAGCACGATATCCTGAGTTGTCACCCTTCGTACAGTTATCGGCATTTGCTTGTTGCCAAGGAATTCGTTGTGCAAACTGTGGATTGAAATATGCAGCTATGTCAGCAACCGTGCCGGCTGGCTAATTGGATTACAGGTTCCCTTGGTATATGTATGCGTGTACGTCTTATACATTTACGAATGCGCTCTGTTTATGCAATACAGACAAGTGAATGAACACGCTAAACTTTCTCTTTACGTGGGAACTTAGATCCCGCTTTCTTTTTTTTGCATCATAGCAAGGAACTTTGGCTAAGCTTTTCCCGCGAGGCTTAACACGCCTTTTTAGCCTTCTCAACGTCAACGGATAATCTATTTTGAGCGGGGAGGGGGTAAAGGAGCGGGTAGAAGAAGCGGGTAATTAAAAATGGAGCGGGTAATTAAAAATGGAACGGGTAATTAAAACTGGAATGGGTAATTAAAATCTGAATTAGTATTGATAACTTTCATAAACATCCCTGCTTCTGAATTAGTATTCATAACTTTCATAAACATCCCTCTAACATGACTTACTGATTTTTAATGTCAGTCACAAGTGTGCACAATGTCATGTGACCTAAATACCGCGTTGACACCGTTGTGATTTGTTTTTAGCTTCATTAATTATTCATGAATTTTACAAATTTAAATATATTCTTAATAATCAAATCCTCAACGAAACGCTAGAAGCCATATTAAACCAGTATTGTATCGAGAGATGTTGTACAAGATTGAACTTAAACTGGAGTAGTAAAATTGACCTATTTAGAAAAATTCTTCACAAATGTAGTAACACTGACATTAAGTCAAGAGACAATTACAATATGTTTGCCCTGTGTGGAACCCTTAAAAGAAGGGGAACGTTGACAACATCGGAATGATCCAACCACGAAGTAATAGCCACGTTACTCCTTTTATCAACCATCTGGGTTGGGATTCGAACAGTGTTGCATCAAGTCGACATGTTTGACAAGATCTATATGCGGGCATTCATCGATGGATTATTCCTGACGATCGATTATTCCATCCAATACAATAACAATGCCGAATATTCATTTTATTCGAATCACATCCCATTTAATCCCTCCTCTCAACCTAATAAGTAATTCTGTAATTAATATTCCAAGTCTGCAAATGGGGTTTCGGTGGCGCAGTTGTCAGAATAATTAAGCGCCTTTCACTTGGCTTGACGGACTCGTGTGAATAGAGTCTGCATTTCAACGTTGTGCCGAAAGTCTTGGGTATCTCCCGGCACCCAGGTTTCCACCCACAGGGAAAGTTGACAGGGTGGGTCAGAACAAACATAGTTTAATACCAGCCTCGTACCCAGGCGCAAATAACGTACTAAAAATAGCAACACTACAGTGTTTTTATATAGATCAGTGGCTAAGCTGAGCGGGGGGGGGCTTAATACGAAAGCCGGTAGTATCACTATGGATGATTCCAGCTATAGACGAACTTTTGATCTAGACAAAGAGCATCTTAAAATGAGTAATATTGCAAAGTTTGGTTTTGTATATACTTGCATTATACGCATGGGAAAAATAACCATTTTTGAGCCGAAAGTAATACAAATATATACCGAAAACTTGCGAACTTCACAGGGCTATATTTTCTTCATTTTACAACATTTAGCAATCTAGTTGCAGTTCACTAATATATATATATATATATATATATATATATATATATATATATATATATATATATATATATATATATATATATATATATATATATATATATATTAAAGAATATAAGTAAGCGTAATACTTGATGTATACAATCAGATAATGTATGAATGTATATATGCATTTGTGTTTTATTTGAATTCCTTGTTTTTGTCGTCATTGTTGTTGTTTTTTTTGTTCGTTTTTAAGTATTTATTCATTTTTATACAGAATATAATATGTAGCTATATAATGCTGCATGAGAATCCCTCTGGTATATTGAATTTTAGGAGTAATTCACAAGTAAAGCATTTAGCTTGCGTGCACCCGTCACTCAATAAGAATGTATAATCAGTATAATTATATATATGCATATGAATTATGCGATATCTCTTTCATTGAATTTTAATTTCTGTATTCACAATAGCTGATGACGCTCAGTATCTTTGTTTCTCTAATTCTTCACGACGGGTTCATTTCCATCATTAATTACGCCATAATATTACAGCAAAATAAAGGCCATCTTGGCATGTTTTGAAATTGTTTTCAATTTTCATAGGATTATTTTGGATTGATAAAGATTATTTCTGTTGTCCAACAGCTTGGGCAGAATTCAATATCATGTATTAATTCATATGAATTATAAAATTCAAAGTCAATGAACGGGAACGTCGTTCTATTCACAGCGGTGAAATTTGGTATTCGTTTGGCATTATAGTTTCTTCTGGTAAATATGAAGACAGAGGATAATATATATATATATATATATATTGACGATTGTCTTGGCCCTTTATATAATTTAAGTTGTCCCAATACTATATAATAAGACCCATTTACACGATGCGACTATAGACTATAGCCGTATATACGACTGTCATGCAGGCTGGCGTATGAAAACGACTGCTGACGCCGCTATTCTGGCATCAGTTCATGGCGAAATTTGAAATATGACATTTTAACAGCTTTATAACCTTTATTCGACTGTACATACGCCAGGATAAGATTAATCGCCTTTACAGTTGCTTGAACTTTAATATATTTATAAAAAAAACAGTGCGACGCTTGCGCTTTTTCTCAAAGGCTCTCATGATCATTTTGTGATCATCAGCTTGTGATTTTTGTGTGTGTGCATGCATGGTAGCGGTACAAAGCAACCAGCTAGGGGTGCATGCTGCTCTTGACTGAAGGCTTTATATATTACACGAGGCAATTGAGTTGCTGCAACGCAATTTCGGAAATAGAGCGATATCAATTTTATTTTAAAAAGAATTAACATGCAGTAAATCAGTTGGCATGGACTGCTTTTCACTCAGATATATTCATATCAATCAGCCATCAATGTGGCACTCGCTTGAATAATTGATATTCGATCGATGTGATCCCAGCACTGCTCAATATAATGTCTATAATCTGCATGCATGAATTCGGCGCAGCCGAATATTAAATTAATATTCGCACTCAAGCCAAGGGTCAAGGTAAAGTCTGCTCAAATTGAATGAGATCACAGTTGTATAAATCTGCTTTTGTCAGTGTTTGTTTGTGTACGAGCCAATATATGTTATAACACGGCAGTCAGCTGCCCTGGTAACTGACATGATTTTCAAAGATTTTTGCAACCGCAGCTTTTGTCCAAAATTGTCCAAAACCACTGGATTGCTTGACTGTGAAACGGTAATGTCTAATGACATATGACTGGCAGACTTTTGCCGCTTGTATAGGAAATTATCAGCTTCTTTATTTCCTTTAAGATATTAGCAATTTAAACTGTTTAGTCATGTTGGCGTGCTTTAATTTTACTACAATTCATATATTAGTGGCTTGTTATAAGGATTAAGGAACCCATTTCACTAGCACTAGTCTATGCACCAATCTCGATCGTTCCTCGACAAATCGGGCGGCTGTTATTCGCAAGCCACATGAGGCAGGGACGAGTACCACTCTGTATATCTTTTGCAAAAACGGCATTCGAAAAATTTCTCTTTGTGAAAAACAGCGACGCGCGTATATGACGAGTTTACATGACGTACTGTAATGGCGACAGAAGCGCGAAGGGACTGATGGATTGGGAAGAGTGCACTCTTCCCAACAGCCCCTTCGCGCGTCGGCCGCCTGTATGAATATTTCATGTATCCATATTATATAGCCAAATGATAATAAAGCGTCTGGTCGAGGCTGTACCATCAGCACGTTTAGTTCCATAGCCAAATTACAGGCCGAAAATGATATCCCGCTCCGATACTATTAGGCCAACGGGGTCAGTTTCCGCCGGACTTCAATGATCTGGATTCTTGCACTTCACTTGGTGGAATTAATATTAGAATGTTAGGGTAGTAATCCAAGTGAGTATACATATACATTTTAAGACGTACCTGACCAGGAACGACTGCGAAAATGCAGCACAGGGTCCTCTGGTAGGAATTGAACCTACGGCCCTGCGATTCCGGTGCAGCGCTCTAACCAACTGAGCTACAGAGGCCACTGGTTTGAACAATTTTTCATCCAGGTCTCATGGAAACGTGTACTGATACATGTCACGAAAACATGCCAGATCCAAATCTGAACCACTATAATAATTAAGTCTGATTTCAATTTCATTGCGAAGGTCGCCACAACCATTTGGGCTCGATGCGACTCTTGCGATTTTCAGTTGCGCTTAATTGTGGAAACGTTCCGCTGAACCAAAATTCGCGTCGGACTTCTCCTATTTTAGATCCAAAATTCAAGAGTAGACTCAAAACATATATACATGCATAGTTATGCATGAATAATTTTGAATATGGTGACAAGCATATCACTAGTACTGACCAAACTGTTTGGGGAAAGGAAATATAAGGATCTTAATGAGAGCTCATCTCATGCCCAACGACAACGTGTAAGGCAAACGGTTACTCTATGAAGAAGTCCATGATATTAGTTGTGGCTTCCTATTACCATCATGACCGTCGGCGTTTTTGTTCTTACGAATAGAATAAAGAATGAACTGAGTATAAAAATAAAATTGAAGGTAAATAGAATTTCTATTAGTGTAATTAAGGTGTGATTAAGCCATTTTTAAAAAGCCTGAATATACGATATTACTTAATGTAAAGCTAACTACATATTTAACTATATAATAATTAACCGTATTTCCTTTATTTAACCCCATCTATTACTACATATAAAGCTAATTATATATGTAACTGTCTCTCTGCATTTTTTAAGGATTCTTGAGTGGTGGGGCAGAAACCCCAAGGTCCCATTTTCCTTGCCCCCTCCCCCCAGAGGATAGTATGCGATCCGGCGAAGGTGTGAGCCGAGTTAAAAATCTCAGCTTCTCAAAACAAAGTTTTAATAGTGAAATTTGTAAAAAATTGTTCAATACATGTAAATACCTCATTTCATATCATAATTGATAAAGACGCGATGTAAACGATGTATGAGTAACTGTTCTTGCAGAAAAAAAAACGATCGAAAAGTCGTTTATTTCATATTTGGTACGTTCTACGATCGACCAGCGGATAGTGTGTGCAAGTAGGCGTATTTCATTTAGGACAAACATAAAGCGATTATAAACGATATGAACATTTTACCGAGATTTCCGGGCCTCTCTGAGCACTCCGGGCACGGGTATTTTGCCCCCCCCCCCTTCTGCCCCCTCTCGCCGGCTAGTTTACAACAATTGAGATATTACTTTCCTAAGTGTGTTCATCCTAACCCATCCCGCCAACTTGCCCTGTGGGAGGCAACCGGAGCACCCAGAGAAAACCCACGACTTTCGGCAGAGTGTTAACAGACTCTTTTCACATGAGTCAGTATCAGGGGCGTAGCTAAGGGGGGTGCGGGGGGTGCGGGGTGTGTGCCGTGTCCGTGGGCACAATAAATCAGTTGTCGGAAAAATAAATTGGATCAAGCCAATAGGCAATAACCTGATTGGAGAGAGATTGTTTGTAGAACATTTGTAGAAAATGCGAGATCGAAAAGATGGATATGTCGACTGAAAGCTCGGCCCTTTTCCGAACATTCAGCTAAATTGGCCAAGAACTTATTACGCTAATACGCTTTTTAATAGTATTATATTTTCTTGCAATTTTGTGAAGTAGGCCTATACCATAGCTAGGAAATTCAAAGCACATGTGCGTGTTGACTGTCCATGCGCCTGCGCTTCATTTCATAATTTTGTAAAGCCAGTAAATGTTAGAAATTACACTTAACGGTCTTTTATACAATGAGAAATACGGAGATGATAGTATGGACAGTAGCAAGCAAAAACGCAAACGGAAGAGAGAGAAACTGACGTGTTTAGTTTGTAATAGGTCGTTTGATGACGAATGGATGTGCTTTTTCGATTTTTTTCGGAACTATTTCGCCTATTTTAAAAATAAATTAAAATAAATTTTCTTTCTACTCGGAGTTAATCGTTGTACATCACTTAAAAATGAATACGGTTCGCTTT